ATAACCGGACCGAGGCATTTGGATCTTTTTCCAACGGGACCTAACGAGATTTATCCATTCTTTGTTATTTGACTGATCACGAGGTCATAACCGGACATAGGCATTTGTAACGAATTTTTCCCCGGGACTCGACGAGATCTATCCATTCTTTGTTATTTGACCGATCACGAACTCATAACTGGATAGAGGCATTTGAATCTTTTTTCCTCGAGACTTAATGCGATTTATCCACTCTTTGTTATTTGACCGATCATGAGCTCATAACCAGACAGAGGCATTTGTAACTGATTTTTTTCCTGGGACTTGACGAGATTTATCCATTTTTTGTTATTTGACTGACTAAGTGCTCATAATCGGACCGAGGCATTTGGATATTTTTTCCACGGGACTTGACAAGATTTATCCATTCTTTATTATTTGACCGATAACGAGCTCATAACCGGACGGAGGCATTTGTACTGTTTTTTCCCCAGGACTTCACGAGATTTATCCATTCTTTGTAATTTGAATGATCATAAGTTCATAACCGGACCGAGGCATTTGGATCTTTTCCCCCCGGGAATTGACCAGATTTATCCATTCTTTGTTAGTTAACCGATCACGAGCTCATAACCGGACTGAGGTATTTGGATCTTTTTTCCGTGGGACCTGACGAGATTTATCCATTTTTTGTTATTTGACCGATCACGAGCTCATAACTTGACATACGCATTTGTATCTTTTTTAACCGGGACTTGACGAGATTTATTCATTTTTTTATTTGACCGATAACGAGATCATAACCGAAAAGGGGTATTTGTATCTTTTTTAACCGGGACTTCACGAGATTTATTCATTTTTTTATTTGACCGATAACGAGCTTTTAACCTGGCCTAGGCATTTGGATCTTTTTTCCCCGGGACTTGCCGAGATTTATCTATTCTTTGTTATTTGACCGATCACGAGATCATAACCGAAAAGAGGCATTTGTATCTGTTTTTTCTCCGAGACTTGACGAGATTTATTCTTTCTTTGTTACTTGACTAATCACGAGCTCATAATTGGACCGAGGCATTTGGATCATTATTCCCTGGAACTTGACGAGATTAATCCATTCTTTGTTATTTGACCGATCACGAGCTCATAACCAGACATAGGCATTTGTATCAATTTTTCCCTTGGGATTTATCCATTTTTTGTTATTTGACCGATCACGAGCTCATAACCGGATAGAGGTATTTGTATCTATTTTTTCCCGAGACTTGATGAGATTTATCCATTCTGTGTTATTTGACCGATCACGAGCTCATAACCAGACCGAGGCATTTGTATCTATTTTTTCCCCGGGATTTGACGAGATTTATCTATTCTATGTTATTTGACCGATCACAAGCTCATAACCAAACCGAGGTATTTGTATCTGTTTTTTCCTCGGGACTTGACGAGATTTATCCATTCTTTATTAGTTGACCGATCACGAGCTTATAACCGAACAGAGGCTTTTGGAGGATCTTTTTTCCCCGGGACTTGACACGATGTATCCATTCTTTGTTATTTGACCGATCACGAGCTCATAACCGGACGAAGACATTTGTACTGTTTTTTCCCCGGGACTTCACGAGATTTATCCATTCTTTGTAATTTGAATGATCATGAGCTTATAACTGATTTATCCATTTGTTATTTGACCGATCACGAGTTCATAACCGGACCGAAGCATTTGTATCTGTTTTTTCTCCGGAACTTGACAAAATTTATCCATTCTTTGTTAGTTGACCGATCATGAGCTAATAATCAGAGAAAGGCATTTGGATCTTTTTTCCCCGGAACTTGACGAAATGTATCCATTATTTGTTATTTGACCGATTACGAGCTCATAACCGGACCGAGGCATTTGTATCTTTTTCCCCCGGGACTTGACGCGATTTATCCATTCTTTGTTAGTTGCCTGATCACGAGCTCATAACCGGACATAAGTATTTGTATCTATTTTTTCCCCGATAATTGATGAGATTTATTCTTTCTTTGTTATTTGACTAATCACGAGCTCATAACCGGACCGTGGCATTTGGATCATTATTCCCCCGAACTTGACGAGATTTATCCATTCATTAATATTTGACCGATCACGAGCTCATAACCAGACCGAGGCATTTGTATCTTTTTCCGCCGGGAATTGACGCGATTTATTCATTCTTTGTTAGTTGACCGATCACGAGCTCATAACCGGACAGAGGTATTTGTATCTGTTTTTTCCCCGGGACTTGACGAGATTTATCTATTCTGTGTTATTTAACCGATCACGAACTCCTAACCAGACCGAGGCATTTGGATTTTTTTTTCCCGGGACTTGACGAGATTTATCCATTCTTTGTTATTTGACCGATCACTGGACAAATTTTCCACGTAAAGATTGGACATAGCACAACATGATAATGTGTACGCCGCACTTTTGTGGGTTAATAAATAAATATTGAAAACAGTACAAGGAAAAAAAAGGTAAAGCAAAGAAATAGGCCAAATGAGTTACCTCTTGGAATTCTTTTCAGGCAGAAGCATGTGAAGTACGCATCTTTGAAGCCAAAAATGCTCCACCAGCAAGACGTAAATTACCTCTCTAGCTCATTCTGCATCAAAAAATATAACATTTCTTAGCAACATGCACATAATTTCCATATTCTTCTTAACATAATAAATTATTTACCAATCACTTAGATAACCTGGATAGCCGATAAAACAAGATCCGGATAATCGATGCTTTAAAACTAAATTTACATAAGAAGATCTAAACAAAATATCATCTATAAAAATTCTAAGAATTTTGCGATTTATTCTGCACCCAAAGAGAAAGAGTAATGAGTGTGTGGTGTTTACCTTTGACTGGATATGGGAAATGTAGGGTATGAACTTTAGAATGAATCCTACAAGTTGGAACAGGTTCAACAACAAGAACATCATCTCATCACCTGTGCTTGAAGTGTTCGAACCGAATAAGAACATGAGTTTTGAGAGTGTAATTAAAAGCATGTTTTTTACAAGAAGAAACCTTTGATTAAAATCCACATCTTTTTACTGTGACTATAAGATCAGTTAATATGGAAAGTCTCGACATCTCTTTTGCACCCATGTAAATCTGCAGAGTTATCAAAAAGGAGAAAGAGACATTAGCAACAAAGAAAAACAGTCCAAGAAGAACAAAGTTGAAGCTCCAATCTTGTACTAGCTAGAGTGATTGAAGATMATTKTTTCATGAATGTAAAATGCATTTTCCCGCTATAGAGTTTTATAATATATAAATCCACAGAGTTCATAACGATTAAACAAGAGAAGAGGTACGAGAGCCTAACCTGCTGGAGTACCATGGCGCTCTCCTTTGGTGTCTTTCTTGTATGCGTTAGAGACTGTTATTTGATGATCACTACAAGAAAAACCGATTAACCAATTACATGGTAAATACTTTCAAAGACCTACCAGAAAAATTTAGCCATTAGGTATGCAGCAATCAAACAAAGAGAGTAACCAATTACATGGTAAACTCAACTCAAATCTTATTACGATTCAGTTCAAAATGGCCAATCAATGACCTAACAGAGACACCAAAGCAATCATCAGCTCCACATGATATGATTAGCTGATCAAACTACTTACATACTTAGAAAACTCCAAATATCTTCTCAGACTCAGACATTAATCGTTAATTATCCACCACCTGGTCAGATATTGAAAACATAAATAGTCAGAGAAGCTAAAAACGCTCAAGATGACCACCAAAAATCCATGTGGAGGACACAAGTCACGCTCTCTATCCAAATTATTCTCAAAGTAAGTAATGAAAAATATTTAAATCAAATAAACCAATGTGCAGCACTAAATTTAAGGAGACAAGATACTTATAAACAGCTCTAACAATCCAAATGTACTCAATTCCATTCCCTAACATTGGTGGATATGTTAAGAGACACTTACGTGACCTTGGAAGAAAACTTAAATTGATGAAATGAAGTAAATGAGAAAGCATCTCTATAGATCATCAAAGAACGGGTGTGCACATGCTTCAACCTAAGATCAGAGTAAGTAAAGGAGTAAGTAGCTATTAAAGTGGTAATCACCAAACATATATAAACTCATGAAAACCAATTAATATAAACCAAGAGATTAGGTTTGGTGAATACAGGAGAAATCTAGAGGCAAGGTCTAAAACTTTTGGAGTTACCTCTCTACTGAATATCTGTAAACCAAGAGATTTTAGATTAGACAGAGAGATCAAACGAGTGACTAGAAGTGTAAAATTTACGTGTAATGTCTCAAAGCTTATATATCAAGACTGATGAGAACTTTCTTTATATCGAAAACTAATCTGATTATCCAAAATTACCAAAGGTTGAATCGTTAGGCTCTGCTTCTTTATCTTCATTTTTCACACCATGACCCACAACCATTAGCTATTCCAATTTTCTTTGCACAGAAGAAAAAGAAATCATAGAGCTTAAGACCCCGAATCAAAATCCACATAATATGCAAATGATTGAACATTTAACAATCTCTCTTACATATCATCAACTTTCAATAACTCATGCATCATCGAATCTATCAAAGGACAATAGGAGCACTACATTCTGAGAGATGTAAAACTGAATAAATATGTACAGTCGAAACAAAAGAAACACTTAAATGCCCATCAAAACGAATGAGAACAAGTTCATTAACTATAACCCATAGATGATGAACAACAAAATCACAAATCAGAACAAAAAAAAAACTCAAACATCCATCCACCTCCTAGAGCTATATCAAGGTTGAGTGAACTCGTAGATACCACATAAACTCTCTATGATCTGTAAACAAAACAGAAAAATATGAAAATCAACAAAGACAAGTCAAAGAACATAAACAAATAAATGACCTCACCCAATAATCTCGATACGGAGACAATCCCACCAGACGATGTTACAAGAAGAAGAGATTTTTGAACCTGAATGATGGGAACTCCATGGCTGTTCGATTTCAGAGTAAAGTTAGACTCAATATCTAATCGAGAATCTGAATCGAAGGGTTGTTTTCGAGCAGAAGCTTTGACGGGAAGTTTGGGAGTTTTCTTCTGTCTTCTTTTTCGGATGAAAAAAATCATCATCTTTTTCTTCCTTTTCTTCTCCATCAGAAGTCTCGACTTCATCACCGTCGCTTAAAGGTGCCACGACGGTAGATTCCTTATCCTCAAGGGGCTCCGACATGGCTCTATCACTCGGGGAAGAAGACGATGCGCCGCCGCGAGGACGAAGGGGAGGAGGAAGCTTCTTCGAGGTTGATCGGTAGGAATCGAAGCTGTGAAGAGGCAGAGAAACGAGGGGATTAACGGAGGAAGTTACGGTTTCGGCGGAGAAGAAAAATGTTTGTGCTTCAAAGTGCGAATTCAGATTTGAGAAAGAGAGAGACGAATTGAGGCAAAATAAGATGTGTTTAGGGATTGTGTGAGGGAGCACGTCGAGTTTCAAAGAATTAGGA